GGTCTGAGTGAGCTTGTGGTTGGAATTCGTCGAAGTGGACATCTTCAATAATGAACAATTGAGGTTTTCGGCAACGGTGACTAGGGACATATTTTTTGTCGCAGTAAAAACAAAGGTCTTTCTCCTAGCATTCATGTGCCTCTTGGTCGACCCCAATGGCTTCAGACAAGGTGTGTGGTTTTTTGATTTTGACATCTAATTGCACTTCATCCTTCAATCCTACAATGAAACAACCAATCAAATAGTTTTTAGACAAATCGTCAATTAATTATGAAAGACGCTCGAATTCTTCTTGATAAGTGGCAACACTAGATGTTTGTTTTAGGCTGGTAAAAGACTTAGATGGGTTGTCAAACTCAGTGGGACCGAAACAACGCAACAATGTCATGGTGAATTCTTCCCACAATAATGGCCCTTTGAATTTTGTCAACCATCGATGTCATTGTAAGGCAATTCCTTCCAAATGAAAGGGTGTGATTTCCACACACTCATGAGTGGGGGTATTATAGAACTCAAAATATTGTTTAGCACGATAAATCCACCTAGTTAGGTCATAAGCCGGTGAATTTTGGAAAATGGAGCTTGTGGTGGGAATTTGGTGCGAGGGGTTGGGGTGTAGGGATTATGGGTTTGGTTTGTGGCTACGAACAATTTGTGGTTGGCTGATTGAGACGATGCACCGACGGCAAAGGGGTTAACGTCGTCCAAATTAGGGACTTGGGGTTGGTTGCAAGTGGCTCGTAGGGCTTGAAGCTCTGTGAGGACAATTTAGAGGGTAGCGTGCACTTGGTCGAAACTAGACTCATGATGAACTAAGGTTTCATTGACCTCGTTGCGAAACTCAGCATTGGTTTTGACTCAGGTGTCCATGGGACCGTTACGGGCTCTGATGCCACTAATATGTGTTAATTAAAGAGTTGAAGAGAAGGAGGGAGATAGCAGGGATGTTGAGAGAGACAACAACTAATTGGATAGTTTTCCCCCTTATTCAATTCCAACAACACCTTTATAGTGCTGACACTAACCAATTGCCCAAGTAATTAAGTGATAAATGTGCAGCTACTGGTCCTATTCTTATGCAACAATAAAGGTCCTATTCTAATGCAACTAATCAACTAAATGGAGCTCTTCTAATGCAACTAGCAGTCAGCCTATGGACTGACTTGTTCTTATGGAGATAACACACTTGATGATATGTATCTAAGTTCCCTATCTCTCCCTTCAAAACATACACATTTTATACTTAATCAGGCACACACATATTTAGCTTTGGATACATTGACAGTCACAAACGCACTAAGTATTGTTGTCCAATTAATTTTGCTGTGAGATTCTTACATTTTTTTTTTTTATAACGTAAGACATAGGTCGAGATTTGTTAACTACAAAAATTCTTAGATGTAAATGTTTTAAAGTTGTTAACATGTCGATCAAAGTTCAACAACTGATTATCGTCTTAGATTTTGTATTTGTGAAACATGAAAAACGTTATAATATCCACTTCAGAAATAGACTATGTTAACATATTTAGAATATCAGCTCAGTAACGTAAAACTATCTTTCATTTCTATAAATGCATAAATGGTTACACATATTTTTGAACATTAAATGAAAATTAATTAAGTTTAATGTTATATGCAGATGAAGAAATGCAAATACCAGCTGATCCTTTTTGCTATAAAAATTGTTCAGCAACATTTGTCAATCCATATGGTTTTGGGTTTTGATTTATCTTTCATCAAATGGTAATAAAATGAGGCATCCATTATCATGTATTGAGATCTTTATAATTAATTGAATTGATTTGCTATTTTATTCATTAAGCAATGTACACTTGCTAAAAATGAGCCATTAATAAATATATAAAAATAAGATTATTACATAAATATTAAAATGTGAGGCTGGATTATAACCTATCACTTCATACACCATTTTAATATAATGATGCCAAAAAAATGATTTTTAACATCATCTTTTGTTTCATAAACTCCCATTTAGTTTTTCTTTTCTGATAAGTTAAACATTAAATAAATAGTTTCTAAGTACACTCATACTTTTTATTTTTATATATATTTATTTGTAACCTCTAAAATTCATTGTTTATTCTTTTAAATTGTTTTGAAAGCATACAATTTTTCTAACCTTTCCATCGGAGTTTCAGGTTTAAAGCTTCTTTTCTGTTAAATCAAAATATGATTTTCACCTTCTCTTTTCACTTTTTTTTTTCTTTATTAGGATATGTGTTGGTATTTTATTTCAAAGAAATACAATGATGAATAATAAAGATTGCACAAAAAACTAAAAGGCTGAAGCACATATATCTAGCTTTCTTTAAGGAGATTTGAGTCGTTTTATGATAACCAAAGCTTTAAGAAACCGATATAGTAGAGAAACATTTTAACCTGTGTCCTTCAGGATACAACAGTCCAATGTTCTCGTTGTTTGGTTGACAACAACTCTATACAAATTGGTCAACCCAAACCCCTCCAAAAGAACACCTTTCTCTAGCTAGTATTTTCTCTCAATAGAATGGATGAAGATAGAAAAATGTGTATGATGAATGAATATAAGAGACATTTATATACTACTCTTCACAACTCTTCACATACTCCATCTTTTCATATTCATAACTCATCCTTTAATTCAATCACCATAACCACCTCCAATTCAATGACTTAACTCCCATCATCTTTAATCTACCAACCTTCCATCTTTTATCTTCCAACCTTCCATGAATAATAAATAAAAGAAAAAATGCAATGTAAACCCAGAGTGGGCTGGCACCCTCCCTGGGATTAAACACAAAAATATATTAAATCAAATTTTATCCCATCCAACAATTAAGTTTAAAAACTTTAAAAGAGGCGTATTTTTGTCATTTCAGTATAAATTTAATAGTCTAACTAACCTTTTTATTGAGTTAAATGACTAAAATAGTAGTATTTTGAAATAAGGAGGACCAAACCATTTTAAATAACTATCCTTAAACGGTAGTAAACTGAAACCACAAGGATTAAAAAGAATTAACTCTGGTAAAAGTAATCAAGCCCAATCCAAGATAATCCAATATGATAATCCATGATCAAGGGCCTAAAATAAGTGAACTAGGTCCATAATACATTAACCACTGAAAGTGGGTCAAACTGGAGGTTTAGGCCGTCCAAGGCCTAGCCTTGAGAAATGTGTCTAAAGAGAGGCAGACAATGGGAAATGATTTTTAGCCGCTACCATTTTCCTCTTTAGCCACCAATCTTCAATTTTACGAAAGGCACAATACATTAATTCTTTTTTCTTTTTCTTTTTTATGATTGGAGATATTCGGATCAGTTTACACATATGTTAACTAATTCTTTAAGACCCTAAAATTTTAACTAGATAAAAGCTCCAATGACTACAACTATTAACAATTAAAAAAAAACTTGAACTCAAGACATTTTGAATAATATATCTAAAAGTCTCTATCGAACCATTCAATCACCTAAAGGTAGTTAATACATTAATTCTTTCTGTGGAAGAAACATTAACTAAGTTGAATAATTGCTATAAATTTTAATTTAATTGGGATAATTACTATAATGTTTGATTAAATGTGAAATTGTTAATTTTAGCTGATTAAATTTACTTTTAATTTTTTAAAAACAGCAAATAGAAATTTTAAAGTAAAAGTATGGAAGATGAAGACTAAAATATCTCATTACAATTATATCCTTACTTAAAATTGAATATGGGGACTAAAGTTTAAAATAGTGGGGACTAAAATTCACTTTCTTAATATTAAACGTGTCGTTCACTCTTAGTCCACTCCTGATCACCTTCGTTACATGAGACTAACTTTTGCAATTCTCACGACCAATGTTCTGAAAACTGGACCGAACAATGACCCGTTCAAGGGTCAGGTTTTCGGTTTGACCGGTTGGATCGGTCGGTTAGACCATACTTTTTAAAAAAAAATTAGTCCCTAAAGATTTGAAATTCATCAAAAACACCCCTATAATACTCCCTTAAGGTTTGAAATCTATTTAAAACGCCCCTGTCAAGCGAAGATTCTGGTGAGTGGTGGCGGCAGCGACGATCGACGGCCAATCGAAGCTGGAATCTTGGGGCTTTTGATGTGTAGATGCCGGCCACTCTGATGGTGGTGCTAAGGAGTTCCATCGGCGTCGGAACTCGTCGGAATCAACAAAAGAAATCCGACGTCGCGAAACTTTAGGTGGACGACGACGACTGAAAATGGATGGGTTTGGTCGTGGAGATGCTGTCCGTCGAATGGGGGTATTTTCTCCGTCGAAAGATGTCGAAATCCTACAAGGTTTAGCTGCGATTGGACCGCAATTCGGCACTATTTCGGCGGTCCAACCGCGGTGCAATCTGGTTTAAATCAAAATAGCAGTTTTTTATATATACCGGACTGGATTTGTCGTCAGTTGCCGGTCGAACCGGTCCGACCGGACGATCCGGTCCGGTTTTCAAAACATTGCTCACGACACCACCCAAATCATACACTACAACCCTAAAAATCCTCTATACATTCAGAATCAGTGGCTGTATAAATTCACCGATGGGGTCAATCTAAGGTAAGAGAAATCATAAGAAACATACACTAAACACTTTTTTTTCTCACCAAGTTACATTGTTCTTGATTTAATATTCGATTTAATCATGAAGGAATATGTTAACAAAATCTACTGATGCCTCTTCCCGTAATAAAAAGTGATTATAAGATCAATTAAAATCTCTAAATTTAAACAAATTAAAATTTTTAATTGGTATGAACCACTGGTTTATTCTTATATAATTTTTTTTTTAATTTGTTTCATATAAAAAAAAAAAAATATATATATATATATATAATAACTTTAAGGTGAGGCCTTTCTATAATATTAAAAATTTGGGGTCTAATTAAATTTCTCAAACCTTAGGGGGCGATTAAATTAACCCAAATTATGAAGGCATATTTAAACTTAAAGTAATCGAAGCATTAAGCTCACAAACATGCAATCATGGCTGCCACTGGATCTTCCAATTCTTCACCTGTTCCTTCGGGTCCCAAAATCCTCCTAGCGAAGCCGGGGCTGGTCTCTTCAGGACCCGTTTCCGGAAAATTCGGACGCAGTGGTGCCGAAGACGAAACGACCGCGCATCGATCTCGTCTTCCATCGCTCAATCTGCTCTCCGATTCTTGGGACTTCCACATCGATCGCTTTCTCCCGGTAACGCCTTTATCGCAGCTCAATATATGTGAAATATCAGTTGGTACTTTTACTTGTTTTATGTGTTCAAGGCTGTTTGGTTTCTAGGAAAATGAGAGAAAATAGCCAAAGAAAAAAAAGGTTGCAGTTTTTCAATTTTATATAGAAGTTATAAATATTTGTCAATTGGCTATTATTTTGAAGTTTTTAATTCTCCTTTTTCCGTGACTTACTGACTATGAGCTGAGGTGGCATTATAGAAAATGCTTACTTCTGCTAATATTTGTCTAATGAATGTGAGTAGATTGAAGTAAATTGAAATGATTGGTGATGTGGTGCAGTTTTTGACTGAGAATACGGACTTCACTGTGGTGGGTATAATCGGGCCGCCTGGAGTGGGCAAGTCCACGATTATGAATGAGCTTTATGGGTTTGATGGAAGCTCGCCGGGTAAGTTACTCAAATGCTTAAAGTTGTTTATTTGTAATGAATTAAGCTACATTGCAACATGCTCTTGTTGTTACATATAATATGTTCTCTTATTGTGGAATATGATGTAAGAGTTATGGTGTTTGGTTGGTGAGTAGTTTTGTCATTGTCTAAAGGGCTGCATTGAATTTTTAGTGTTGGGTTGAAATAGGTAGTCATAAACAGCATTTTGGGCTGATTTTAAGTGAAGCTTCTAAATGCTCAAAAATGCTTTTGTGTCATCTTTTAGTGTTATGCTGAAATAGGCAATGGAAAACAGCATTTTGAATTACATTTTAGTGGAGCTTTCAATTGCCTAGAAATGCTTTTGTGTCAATCGGTCAGGTTTTGGCTGAAATAGCAAATCATAAACAGCATTTTGAAGTGATTTATAGTGAGGCTGTCAAATGCCAAAAGTGCTTTTGTGTTGATTGTTTAGTCTTGGCTTAAACAGGTAATCAAAAATAGTATTTTGGAGGGCTTTCTTGTGAAGCTTTCAAGTGACCAAAAATGCTTTGGGTTCATCTTTTAAAGTTGGCTGAAATAGGCAATCAAACACAGCATTTTGAAAGTGAAGCTGTTGATTGTTGAAAGTGCTTTTCTGTCAATTGTTTGGCCTTAGCTGAAATAGATGAGCAAAAATAGCATTTTGGAGGGTGTCTTAGTGAAGTGCTTGATAGATTTTATATAGGAAGCCATTTTTAGGTCAAAATATGAAAGCTTGAATTGATGGGGACCTTTTTAGAAAGTGGTTTTGCGATTTAAATTGTTCTTATAGAAAGCATTTTTACTTGACTGTGGGTTTCAGAAAACCAAAGCAATTTTGAAGGCACCTTGTTATGTCCAATTCTTAATTTAATACTTCTCAGGAATAACTTGTGTGCTTGTCTGCAGGGATGCTGCCTCCTTTTACTATACTATCAGAAGATACTAGAGCCATGGCAAGGCATTGTACTTCAGGAATTGAACCAAGGATTTCTGCTGAACGGCTTATACTTCTTGATACCCAGGTTTTCATTTTCTTTCTTAATGTACACTGTTTTTTTATTTGGTGTAGAAAAGCTTACATGAGACTGTGTTGTATTCTCCCGTTTTATTGTCAAGCTCTCAGCTGTTTCCTTCAAGTCAAAAGTTGGAAATACAGAGCTCTTGCAAATTTGTAATGTAGTCAGGAACTTGTAATCAAGTAGCAGTGTGAGAAATTCTTGCAACAAATTAACTGTTAATGTTTCAATTCAATGCAGGTCAATACAGATAATCAGTAAGTTTTAGAGGACAACTATGACTGAAACTCAAACGAAATCTAATTGAAATGAAGATAAATGATAATAGAAACATGGAATATGACAATTGTATGTATCAAATATTTTAAAGCAAAAAAAATTTTTAGAATTCGAGGACTAAGATCTGGGCTTAAAAGATTTTGATAATGAAAATAAGAATTATATAGAGCAACACAACGGATTCAGAAAGCTAAGAGTTGTAGCAACATATTAATTTCATAAATGATGAAAATTTTCTTTCCTTTTCATATTTTCTTAAAGTGAAAAGTAAGAGTTTGAGGAAAAGAAAGAAAAGAATTGGAAAGAGAGAAAAAGTAGGGTGATTTTGTTACCAGACTGTGTAGAGTGAATATTAATTAATAATGGAAAGAGAATGAAAACATTTATTAGCACGATTGTATCACAAGTTTGTTAACTTTGGGGAGGGCATTAAATTTGGTGAGGAAATAGAAGAGAGACAGACTTAAAATATTTTTTTTTATACAAAAATGAATTATAACATTATTTATAATTATTATTTTAAAACAAAATTTCCACATTGTCTTCAATCCTAGCCATCCAAACTATTATCATATAATGGCGGTAAAAGTTTGTCAAATTTTGTGAATAAAATATGGGCGGCTAATATCTAAAAACTTTGAAGTATATTAGTCATTCTATTAATAATGTTGCCATTTCAATATGAGGAAATTTATGTTACTATAATTCTTCTTTCTTGTCTATGCATGTATCTTCTTGTGTTTAAGCTCGATTAGATGGGGGCATTGAATATATTGGTACCATATTACTGGTTGTTTATATATTTTACTCTAAACTATCTTCTACATGCAGCCTGTATTAGCTTCTTCCGTTTTAGCTGAGATGATGAGACCTGACGGCTCGTCCACAGTTCCAGTTCTAGGTGGTGAATCTTTATCTGCTGAGTTGGCACATGAACTTATGAATATACAGGTAACTGCGAGGCAAATGCTTATTTCATTGGGAAATGAATACTTAATCTAACAATCTGAAAAGTTTGTCTGTGCTATGGGCATTTTGTGAATATTCTTGAAGGTAGAATGTCTAATAAATTAATATCTTTTTGGTGTACTGCAAGGAATCCTTCTAGCTTGGTGTTCTACTATCTTCCATTTGTCACATTCTGCTGGTGGTTTCTGAGGGGGTCCATGATAATAACACGTGGCGTTTGATGTTGACGGTAGTATTCTTGTCTTGAGCACTACTTTCTTCTCATTTTCATTGCTATACATTCCAACTAGCTAATGCTGGTTATTTCTTAAGTTGATAGTTTCCTGTCTTGAGTTTATTTGATGTGTTATGGACATTTTTGGTTTTTGTCATATCTCTTTTGTTTGTCCAGTGGACAAATTTGTGCTGCTGCTATTTCTGATTTTTCGGATTATGGTTTTGATTTATTTCTTGGCTTTTCTATGTTTAACATGGTTCCATGGTAAAAGTTATGGTTCTCAAGTTTTCTGCTATAGCAGTGGTGTACTATGATTTGGAAGTGCTTCCTATTCTTGTGGCCTTTAGGCCCTTTATTTTTGAAAAAATAAAGGGACAAAAAAAAAAAAAAAGAAAAAGAATTTCTAGCACCAACTGGCTCATCATTAGGGGCACTTACATGTATTCGGTGGTTTTCTGTATTCTGAATGATGATACTCTTGTCATCGCTTGTGAATTACACTGTGGCAGTCAAAATAGTAGTTCTTTAGTTAGCAATTAATAGGTTTACTTGGTCTTAGCACTGAAGATAACTGAACAAGCTGTTTGCAGATGCAATGAAGATCTGTAATTCAAAGTTATCATATCAGTAACATGACTGGATTTTTGGGTTGTTAATATATCGTTATTTCTTGGAATCTATTCTGATAGGAATGTATCAAAGGACCAATCAGTAAATAGTTGGGAGTTTAGAGGACCACAACTATTATGGAAAGAGACCAAAGAAATATGGTTAGGGAGGATTTTAGTTAAGGTAATGAAACAGAACTTGTGGCTTATTAGACAATGCCCTTTATTGGGAAATAATTCAACAAGGTAGACTCTTAAGATGTGAGGAGTACAATCAAATTCAAAATGGATACAAGTTGGATACCGAAGAATGATTTCACCTTTAACACAGCATAAATTCTCATTGTCACCCTTTCAATTTCTTGTGCAAAGTAGTATTGTGTTTGAACAATTATGGGTCTTTTACTGTTCTGGAGTAAATTTTTTTTTCACTGCTACTGGGTAGGTTTTGGTCAAGAACCTCTTGTTGTCACCTTTTTTTTTTTTTTAATATTTTATTTCCCTTCATCTTTGCAGTGGATGCCATGCTATTTTTAGTTTGGGAAGTCTAATTTTGATCATCTGCCCTAGATCTTGTAATTCCATTTTCAATTGTTTGCAGGTTGACTTGTTGAAACACGGCATACCTGATCCATCTTCTTTGAATGCTTCCCATTCACAGAGCTCCAATTCAGGTTCTGAAAAAGAGAATAAAGATAAAGCAAATGAGGTTGAGGAGTATATGGCTACTCCAGTTTTTGTGCATACAAAGTGAGTAATCAAATTTTTAACAGTACTGTAAAGATTGCTGGAGCTTTGTCTAAGTAAAACACAAAAACTGGCGGTGCCATAAATGAATGATCAAACTGTAAAAGTTGGCAAGCACGAATGAGTCATCAGCTATCTCAAGGATGTGTTTTGTTTTACTATTCTTAGCCCTCATATTCTTCATCATGTCATACTTACTATTTCCTGATAAATAAAACCTTAATAAATAGGATTTGATTAGAAATAGAAAAGGATTTCTGTTGTTTGGATCTGAATTAAGTCAAATTATCTGTGGAGGTGTGCTCATTGCTTTAAGTTCATTAGGATGTATAATGCTTTCGGAGACAACTGTTGGGACGATATTGGGATATTTATTTAATCTGTCAGCATCCAGGAATACATCAAGTCACTATATCTGGAAATCAGTTAATATATAGTGTAGTTGCACTGTACAATTTTAGGTTTAATGATAGTCCAGTTTTGAATTATCTAAATATGTATCTAATGCCGTAGCACTGTTACATTCAGAAAAGGTTTTAGCAGAATTCAAGCAACTCATTCAATTTCTGTGTTGCTTCTGTTTGTAGACTCCAAGATCAAGATCTTACTCCACATACTTCGGAGCAACTGAGGAAGGCATTGGGGCGATATTTCAGCACCTCTTCATTTGTTAGAAACAAATGTGGAAACACCGCCATTGAGCCTGTAAATCCCAGTACTCAATGCAGTGTTACAGATTCAACAGTACCAAAATTATTTCTGATCCCGTCTAAGAACAAAGATGATTCTCCCTGTGCTCTGTCTGAAAGTTACGTTTCCACACTATGGAAATTGCGGAATCAGGTCTCTCTCTCCTTCTCTCTTTCATCCTCCCCATGCATGCACACACACATACACAAAAATGTGGTCATGCACACAAGGTTGACATACGGTGTTAAGTTTCACCTTCACTCATTCTCATGACATTGGCATGCTTACAACTCTGAATCTTCCTGAATCTTGAAGATTTTGTTGCTTTATAAGTTGTAAATAAGAACTGAAGAAGTATTTTGCTTTGCTTCAGGTCCTATCTATGAACTGCCCTTCTTTTGTGAGGACCGTTTCTGAACGTGACTGGTTGAAAAATTCTGCCAAGATATGGGAACTTGTAAAAAGCTCTCCGATCATCTCGGATTACAGCAGAATGCTTCAAAGTTCTGGTATGTTTAGGAGGTAGTCAATCCAAAATGTTTCATATGGTTTTTCTTTCCTAGGCGATACCATAGATAATCCTGGTTCACCGTTTTGCTATGAAGTAGTTTTTCTCATGTCTTATTAATGATAATGTTGAAGTATCAATTTCCTAATTAGGATATGTATCAGCTAGAGCCCTTGATAATTAGAAGTAACTTACAGCTTAGGATTTGATTTCTTGATATTATAATCCTGTCTACTAAACTCCTTATTTATACCAAGGGATGGTGAATTTATGTATGTTCAGAAAGTTGATTTGAATGGGAGTGTAGATGAGGTTAATATCTCCATGTTTGTGCACTAATTTTGAAAGAAGAATTTTGCATTATTCAATGATAACAGGGTTTGGGTCCTAATAAAACCTTCATGGTTGCTTATTGTTATGGTGAGTCACTGCAGAGTCTTGTGACACATGTCACAAATTAATATGATGTTATTAATTTAATTAATTAAATTAATATTATGTTTTATATTATAAAACATGTGTCACGAGATGTGGAATGACTGTCCTAGACATTGGTGGTTGAGTAGTCAATTAGAACTCTTTACTCAAAAGATCCTAAGTTTGATTCATATTGGCTACTAATAAAGGTAATCACTAAAATTCTTATCTGATCGGTAGTTTCAAGGTCCCGAGAGATTAGTTGAGGTACGCGTAAACTAGTTCGGATATCCCTATCATAAAAGAAAAAAATAAAATAAAAAGACTGTCCTAGACTGACTGATGCTAGCATACATTTTGTGGTGATTGTAAATGCCCAATAAAAATGTAGATTGACAGGTTGCCCAAAAATTCTGTTTATTCTCATCGCCATTAGAATCAAGACATTTGGCAATTTGATTAGTATTCGAAGAATGATTCTCTTAAATGAATATTTGGAGTTAATTTCATCTGAGTCTTTGAGAGATTACTAAATCTAAAGTATTTTAACAATTTTCGAAAACTATTAAATATCTTTTATAAAAGTCAGAAATGATTTGATTTGAACACATTTTCAATCCAAAAGAAAAATATTTTTGAATTGGTGAAACTCTTTCAATCAAAAGTGTGTAGGAAGCAAACTATTTGGATAATTTTTTCATAGAAAGAAATAGCAAAAAGGGGTTTTGTTACTCACACTTTTTAAAGCTATTTCTATTCAAATAATGTCTAAACCCAATGATTCAAGGCAAAAATAAATAATCATAGAATAAGGAAATATCGTTTTCAATTGTCTGGACAACTAGATTAAAATCAAGAACCCAAAATAGATTTAAAAGGAGACAAATAACAAAGAAGTTAGAGACATCNTCTTTTATAAAAGTCAGAAATGATTTGATTTGAACACATTTTCAATCCAAAAGAAAAATATTTTTGAATTGGTGAAACTCTTTCAATCAAAAGCGTGTAGGAACTAGGAATCAAAGTATCAAACTATTTGGATAATTTTTTCATAGAAAGAAATAGCAAAAAGGGGTTTTGTTACTCACACTTTTTAAAGCTATTTCTATTCAAATAATGTCTAAACCCAATGATTCAAGGCAAAAATAAATAATCATAGAATAAGGAAATATCGTTTTCAATTGTCTGGACAACTAGATTAAAATCAAGAACCCAAAATAGATTTAAAAGGAGACAAATAACAAAGAAGTTAGAGACATCAAAAAAATGAAATATAAGGCCTTAGGCAATGGGAAGTTATGCAACTTAAAGAGTTGTAATAGTTGAATGTTCTTTATTTCTCCCCTTTTCGAAAAGAAAAAAAAAAAAAAAAAAAAGAAATCTCTCGAAAATAATTTGATGATTTTACGTCTCTCTTTGACAATTTTAATCTTATTAATAATTTTGAATAATTTTTTTTTTCTCAAATTATAAGAGGAAAATATACATTCTAGGAACTATTTAATAGTTTCTTAAAATTGCTACAACATTTGAGAGTATCAATCAAAGTGGGCTGATAAATTAAAAATTTTATATGGGTATAATCAAGTAAGATATTATTATTAATAATTAAAAAAAAAATCAACTAAAAAAATAAGTTGAATAATGTTATGCTTAGAACTTACTAACCACTTTACTCACCTTTGTTAAAATTATATACGGTACCCATACTATGCTTATGGTACCCGTACTATAATTTATATTTACAAAGGTTAATAAGTTCGTGAGTAAGTATAGCATTATTGAAATTAGTTTTGCCCGCAAAGTAATAATGATATACACGTGTCACAATATCTTTAAAATAGAATAAATTCATATTAAAATTTGACTTAATTTATTGCTCGAACACCTTTGTAAGAGCATCTCCAAATGACTTTTTATATGATCCAAACTCTTTATTATAAAGAGTCTATCCATAAAAACAATAATCCAACATACTCTTTATCTTTAAAATATAAATTAAAAAGTGAGTTTCACTTTCCACATTTAAAGAGTCAAATTTCACTCTCTATCCTAATTTTAATTAATAAACTACAAATTCATACATTTAATTTATTAATTCTCTCTCCCATTAAGTATATTTCTTAAAAATAAAGAACATCTTTATTAAATTTAAAGAGTATTGGATTTGAATAAAAATTGTGTTTTTTATATTTAAAAATTAATAAAGATGCTATTTATTTATATAAAAGATGCTCTTCAAAATAAAGAGCACCATTAGAGATGCTCTATGATAACAACTAAACTGGAAGACCACACAATCTATTTACAATTTTGTACTTCAAATTTTCTCTTTTCTTTTTCTTTTTTCTGGTTTTCCTCAATATTCCACATATGGAGAACAATTCATCAACAAAAGAACAAGCAAATCCAATGCATTGAAATACAACTGACTTGAGTTATGCAGCAACTATCTAAAACAAAATACAAGGATTTGAATAATTAATTTGTTTATAATTATTCTACCATGGAATCCACTGACGTTGCGGCAGTCGCTGGTTTTGAGGAGCTTTTGCCTTTTTTACCTGAACATTAAGTGACAAATTCATATCAATACAACTTGTGGAATTTCCCCAAATTATCAAGGAAGAAAGTATAAGTATTTGGCTGCATATAAATGTGATAACTCACCTTTACGCTTTAAGTGTTTAAGCTTCAAACCCTTTTTCATATGAAATTTCGTTGGTGTTTTGTTGGCGTCTGCTGATGTACCTACACCTCAAAAAAAAGATTAGATTATTTTTAGAATGTAATGTAAACGAAATCCATGGCAAGTTATGAAATCGGCAATGGGATAGCATGCAAAAGCTTGAGTCTAAACTTTAAAAAACAATAGCACAACATTGTTTTACGTTTAAAAAAGCTTTACTCTAATAACGATCATCCAATCTAAACCCAACCACTATCCATGCTTTGCTTTCATTCTTTCATATAATTACTACCGGAAAAACAAATACCTTAGCTTTAGCTAAATGAAAGAACCTCTGGTTATTTAGAGGAAAAAAATGAGAAGGCTCTACATAGGATTATAGTCTTAAATTTTTTTTGGCATGGTCTTGCTTCAACTCTGACCCTAAATAAAATGTTCGTCTCCGACCTTTTAAACCAATAAAACTGTAGTAAAATGTCTCTGTGCGGTTAAAAAAAGGAAAAGATGAATAGGCAGAATGCTATCAAAAAACCAAAGAAAGCTACTGTTGTTAGGTAAACAACAGAGTATAAGGCATACTATTCTTGACAGACATTATTTAAGCTGACAAAGTATTCTCTAGGATTCAACATTCTCTCTCTTCCCTAGAGTTAAACAAACATGACCAGAATGAAAACTTCCATCATCCCGAGGAAAAACAACATTGCCTCATAACATAAGTATTTGAGGGTTTGTAGAATGTCTATCTAAATTTCTGTTTATAGAAAAACGAATACACGAGTCAAAAATACAAGCAGAATGAGGAGAAGTACCTACGCAACTACATGCACAAAGCAGCACATTTAGCTACAGAATCACTAAGTTCACAAAGGCTTAACTTCTCCACAAAGAATACTAATCGGACACCATACTAATAATTCAGTTTTAAGCACACTGATTTCCTGTTATCATTTACAAAACAATAGTCTTATTCCAAATGCACCAACTCAACAACAAAATCTGGAAACCCAAACATTTGAAGACCACCATTCTTCTGAATCATGCTAGATGATAAGTATTTCCAAACCAATTTCCCAAAAATCCACTTGGCTCAGAAGGTCAAAGACGAGAAATTTAGAACCATCAAGCACCTCCAAGTCCTAATTCAGCGCATCAAATTTCGCATTGGATGAATCTTTTCTAACTTTACATATTAGCAATTACACATTAGAGACCATAACATTTTTACCAACTAAATTTGGCAACTTTATATGTCCGTTTAATTCTTCTACCCTAAATTAAATCTACAATTAATCCAAAAACAACTACAAAAACATCAATAAAATACATATAAAAACCAAAACTTACCTTCACCAACAGCCATCTCCACATCTTGCATACTCACAAGACCACTCCCCACAGCCTCCTTTTGGTCCTGCAAAATTAAACCCACAGAAAAAAAAAACAGCAAACCCACATGAGGTTCCAACACATGCAATCGAAAAATAACAAATTTAACATAAACAAAACCTCTCCTGAGCATTAACACATACTCTGCGCCATTTCTTGAAGAGTTTGCGTTGGCGCTTGCCCGAGACAGACAGATTCTGAGGCTTGTTCTTGAGCTTCGCGGTTTTTGGGTCTCCATGTCTCGATCTCTTTCTCTCTGCTTTCTCCGCTCTCTTCCTCTTCAGCACCACATTGTACTTTGCCATCTCAGAGGTCCTTTCTTGTATTCTGCCAAAACCCTAAATTTGAGAGAACCTTTTAACGATAATTTTCTGTGTGTGGGGGTTGGGGGCTTGTTTTTGGGCCTGGTTTTGAGATTGGTCAAGATGTATGGGCTTCAGTCGGCCCATGTTTATAACTTCGCTGCTAAAAATTGATGTGATAAATCAATTATTTATAGTTTATTTTTTTTCTAATTGGATAATACCATTTTGTCTAGAATATTCTCATTTTGAAGGAATTGTCTAGAATAAAGATGACCAAGATCTTGGTCATATTGCCCTTGAAACTATGTCACCTCCTTTTTGTCATCTTAATTTCCACACAACCCAATGAGATTAAAAGTTTCCAATTAGAACCCTAGCCTTTGAAGTCGTACAATGAGATCAGCACCCTCTTCCGTCAATTGTCTCACTTAATCACAATGATTACTTGGACAAATTATGGAGAAATCCTTTAACCAAAGGATAACTCACTATTCACCCTTATCACTTGAATAACTTTCATACCATATGTATATAAATTCATTATTTAATCCATTTGAATAATATGTAATGCATACTTAATATCCTCATATAAGAAATTGACCATTATACAAAGATTACATGAATTGAATACTCTCTTGTCAAATCCTCCTCCCAGAAAAACCTTTCTTCTTCGTCAAACGTCTTAACAAAGGAATAAAAAAACTAGAACAAAGAACCTAATAACCATGTTACAATCCGCCGATAAGGAATTTGCAGGCTCTTTATATGTTACTAGTGTTTGCTTAAGTAATGAAAAGTTCTCAACTTACATCCTAGATGGTTTGGGCTTTGAGCTTTTCCAATTCACTACAGTTCTATTGAGACAAGACAAAAGACAAAAGAACACTACATTATTTGCTTGTTGTTCTCATTTTGTTTGAGAGGGCACTCAACCACAATTCTCCCATTTAAGCCTAAATGTCAAACTGCCATAAATCTTTTCACCAAAGTCAGTCTTGTAGAGGAAACCATGCCTCATTTTTATTGTCTGAAATAGACATGGTTGCCAGAGCTGATGATGCATCTTCAGGATGAAAACCTTGATTTTCCAATATATTGGCTCATATCACTTATATATACAACCGATAAAATCATTTCAAAAAACCACTCATTTTTTCTTCTTGAAGAACTTATTTAATCCCATTTACAGTTTTATAATAAAAGTCTTGATTTGAACAAAATGAGTTGAGAATGAAGTGAGAATGGATAAGATGTAAAGGAGGAGAAAAAGAGTCAGAATCTGGTTTCTTTTGTCCTATATTATTACAACAATCATATATATATATATATATTTTTTTTTTTTTTTTCCTTTTCTGAATGGCCACAAAATTTATAAACAAACGTATATATTTGTCGCGTATTTTAACACATAAAAAATGAAAAAAAATCATAATTATAAATTACTGTAATTGGAATTTTCCCTTTCTCTCAGAAATAACAATTTGATCATTCTTTACATCATAGATCTTTTGCCCTAAGAATTGACGATTTGAAAAAAAATTGAATATAAAAAGATGAAATAAGTGAAAATGACAGTACAAGTGTAGCTCTTCTCATTCTCTACTTAGAAGTTTTTTCCCTCAAAAGTTTGACCAAATTGCCAATTCTTGGGCATAAGATGTTGTAGTGTTAAGGATCTGCCATTACTGGCTTGAACTCTGAAGGTCAATGACTCTCCAGTCATCATTGCACTCGTTTGCCATTTTTGACCTCAATTTCTTGTCAAAGCCGTCCATTTTAACTTTTTATCTCCCTTCACTAGCACACTAATAACATCCCCAGCTCCTGCTACATTCCATATAGAGATTAAGTTGTGATGAGGATTCCCAGTTATTGTAAATCGAATTCCTCCTCGCTTCTGGCATGGAAATCTGCAACAAATTAAACTCAATGAAAATCGAAAGCTCATTACATTACATGGAAGTTTAACTACATATGTGTTATATTTTTTAGGTTAATTTAGGATGAAGATTCCTACTTTGTTTGTTAAACTATAGACCAACGAATATGATTAATTATTCTAAAACTAGTTAAAGCCTTTTATTAGAGGCACCTTTAAATAAATTATAATGAGACTTTTAGCATGAAATTATATGAAATAAAAGAACTGAACCTGCGATATTCGATTGGAACAATGCCAGCCTTATACTCAGCAATTCGATAGAAGACAGGGCGAGCTATATCGAAATGTTCAAGATGTCCATTTGACCATCCATTGTCCATTGCTATAGGCCAACTTGGTGGACCTTGGTTAGTTGCCGTGACAAAAAGAAGTTGCCCGCGCTTACAGAATTGAGGGTTATTGCAGCATTTGATCTCATAACAAGCACCACAACCTTGACCCTTTTTAAACAAAGCTGGGCTCACTGCTGCTGTATTTATGCCATAGCCTAGTTTATCTAAATCTTCATAACCACAAGCTCCACCTATAACGATCATATNAGATACTATTATAATAAGCTTTGAGATAAAGAATATAAACTAGAATATGATTTATTGACCTTCAAAAATAGATGATCATTTAGAAGGAAAATTGCTAAAAACAATAAATCTGATCATTAGAAAAAACATTGACGAAAACAATAAATCTGATCATTAGAAGGAAAGAAGAATGTTGGATATGAAAGACCTCAATGAATTGAAGTGAAAGACAAAAATGGTAAATTTTCTTATACAAAAGTGAGAATTTTTCTAAGTAAACCCTTTCTTTAACTAAGTACCATTTATTATTATATTTTATTATAAATTTACCCCTTGAATAAGGGCAACTGATCAAATAAGTGGGGTTCCAATATCATTAATTACCCTTGACAAAATTACAGTAACTCCATATAAAATGACATATAACCTTCTAAAAGTTACAAAAAGAACCCATAAATTACATCTAGATACCTTTTATAATATAAAATTAGAATAACCCTCAAATAAATAACTTCAGAGTTCAGACCACATACATTAAGTAAAATTTGAAAGAAAAAAAAAACCTCAACAAGTGAATCAAACCCGAGACTGAAGCTAAATAGACCCCACCCGGGCCTAGTAAGCCCAACACGGCCCGGGATTGTAAAACCCAAGCTTAAATGCACCCTGGGCCCTATGAGCAAATATATGTCCATGACCATTTCATCTGATCATATCTCAACTCTAAATTATGGATAGATTGATTTGCCTTTAAATTTTTTACTAAATTATGTTCAGCAGATTGATTTGTCCTTCTTAACTTGTTTGTAACGGGTTAGCTGCTCCAAATTTTGCACTAATAAGTTATGCTTTACAGTTTTATTTAAAATACTTTTTATATCGTATCCTCACTTATAACTATTAGAGGAATAAGGGTATAATAGTCAAATCAAGTTGTAATATTGTAATTAATTTATTTGTTAGTTAATCAGTTTTTTAGTTAGCTTAATTGGTTAATGCACTCCAGCTCAGATTAACTCAGTTGACTAAGTTTGTATATAAAAGAAAAGAGTGCATTTAATAAAGAACATGTATTTTTTCCCCCAAAATTCATCTCTCTGTGTCAATATCAGTTTCTGCAATATGGTATCAGAGCAGTGAATTCTTCGCTTCTTGATCAGTAAATCAAGCCAATTAAACCTTCTTTTGTGGTTCAAGAAAGTGCGATAAGGCTTAACATTCTTCGAATTCTTCTTTTCGATTTCGATTTCTAGTTTTCTTTCAGTTTGATCAAAGCTGTAATTCTTGATTCTAGATGCTATCATGGAAAATCTGACAGAGGAAGTAGTGATTCCATCAATTGATTCCAATTCACCGCTCTATGTACATCCATCGGATACACCAAGTTCTATATTGGTTTCTGAGCAGCTCATCCAGATGGAAAACTACAATATTTGGAGTCGAGCAATGACGGTATCTCTTTGTGCCAAGAAAAATTAGGGTTTGTTAATGGCACATGCACCAAATCATCGATACACTCTCGCTTGATTCCACAGTGGGAGAGGTGCAATTCATTGGTTCTTGCTTGGATCTTCAATTCGGTTTCTAAGGAGATCCTTAATGGAATTGTTTACTCGACAAGTGCTGCTCAGTTATGGCAGGATTTGAAGGAGCAGTATCATAAAATGAGTGGAACTAGAGTTTATGGTCTTTATTGGGAAATTGCTAACCTAACACAAGGAACCAATACTGTAGCTATCTAATACAATAAGCTCAAATCGTCGTGGGATGAGCTTAACTCTTTGGTTAGTCTTCCTGTACCTGATAGTGTTTCGGCTAAAGCTTATCTAGAACACTTGAACCAACAGAAGTTGTTGCAATTCCTAATGGGATTGAATGAGTCTTACTCCATGGTTCAAAGCCAAATCTTGCTTATGAATCCCTTACCGAGTGTTAAACATGCTTGCTCAGAAGTAAATCAAGTAGAGAGCCAAAAAGTTTTGGCTGCAATGACTCTAAATTCAGAAGTGACTACTGCACTTTATGCCAATCATACTGGAAGTGACAAGAATTAGAGTCAGGGGCAAAAATATAAGGGAAAAAAACCGTACATTGAGTGTGAGTTTTGTCATATTTCTGGACACAAACGGGAGAATTGCTACAAGTTGAATAGGCATCCACCTGATTTCCAATTCACAAAGGGGAAGAATTCTAAGTCAAAAGCTTTTACTAATCAAGTTCAGTCTTCAGAATCACCGAATGTTGGCAACTTTGGAAACTCTGGGTCATTCATTGGTCTAGTTCTGACTACAAACCAGTACCATCAACTACTCCAGCTACTAGCCAAAGAATATGTTTCTCCTCCTACTACTAATCTTGCAGGTAATTCTATTGCCTTGTTTTCTTATTTTGATAATGATAATTGGATCATTGATACTGGAGCGATTGATCACATGATTTTTAATCAGTATGTTTTGAAGTTTCCTTATGTTGTTGAACCATCCTCTAGATACCTTGTCAATTTACCAAATGGAGCAAAAACCTATGTTAGGAATGTAGGATCTGTTATGCTAGACAATAACATACACTTGTCAAACATTTTACATG